AAAACAAACTGTTATACTCAAAACTAAACACAAGTCTGCGAAGAATAAACGTCGGTTTAAACAATAAACGGTGACTCGTCAAATATAAACTATAATCCAAAAAATACACACAAAAAGAGAACAACTAAACGATTTTTGAAAATTAAACGAAAAAATGAAAAAAATACACGGTAAGGGTCCACCAGTGATATTCCGAGGTCATTGAGTCATAGGTCACAGTAGTGGTGTTTGTCTTTTCCATCCGTCTGTCGTTACGACATCTGAGGTTAGACTTTTTCATGACCCTTCATCTTTCTATGTATGGGTATTTTTTCCCTTTTTTATTAAGCCCCTACAGGGGCATCAAGCAGTTGAGGTAAATCTTTAAAATTCTTCTCCTTCTGTACAAATGGAAGAATTTTAAGCAAATTTTGTCTATAACATCCTTGAACAAGGGGAATTCAAATCTGTAAATACGAAGGGTGTGGCTCTCCTTGGGGCAAAGGGGCAGGGCCAATTAGGGAGAACATGGGGGAAAATGTTTAAAATCCATCTTCTGTATCAATGGAAGAATTTGAACCAATTTAGAGTAGTGCAGAGGCAGAGGGGTGGGGAGTAATTTGTCCATATTGCTTAAACATACCTTTTCTCTGGATCAGAGTGATGGATATCATCCATATTGACCTGGGCTCTGGCCCCAACCCTAGGGACTCAATTTCTGGGCCATCATTTTAAATGGTTTAGATTCCTACCCCATTACTATTTATCATTTGATAAGCACACAGAATTAAATATAGTCATGATGTTAAAATTGACCGATTGGTCTTTCTCCACCCCATGGAACTTCATACCTGATACATAACTTTGAAACGGTTGAGATCTCCACCCAATAACCATACATACCATTGCTGGACATCAAGAGGTGAACACAATCAGGATATTGGTACTGACTCTTGTTTCTAGCCCAACCTTTGCCCTAGGGACTTTATTTCTGGCCCATAACTTTGAAGTTTTTAAGCTCCTGAACAGATAGCCATATACATATATACAAATATGTACCATTGCTCGGCATAATGATCCAGGTGAGCGATACAGGCCCTCTTGGCCTCTTTTAACTAAACAAGTGAAGCTCTTGTTTATCATGTGGCCCACTGTTACCAAGATGTGTTGATAAACCATTTAAGGATATCCAAAAAGTAAACTGAAAATGTCAATGATTATCCACTGTAGCACAGACACTATTTGTGCAGAAAAAAAATGGTATTGAAGAAGTATTACCAAAACATTGGCTAAACATTAGTTGACTTAGCTTGACTTAGACAAAAGGAATATTGATTAAATCAATTCTTGTATGATAGCTAAACAGGTAGTGGATTGGTATCTCAACCAGTCAACTCGAGTTTTTCTCAGTTTCCCCTTGTTGTGATAGTTGTAACAGCTATCCCTGATTATCTCCCCTATCAGACTGATTTGTGTCCCCTTGCTTGTTGTGATAGCTGTAACAGCTATCCCTGATTGTCTCCCCTATCAGACTGATTTGTCTCCCCTTACTTGTTGTGAGGTAGCAGAGTACAGTAGAAATGGCTTGACCCTAAAAATAAAGGGCATGTCTCGGATAAACATGGATGGCGGATTCATCCTGCATAACACACCTACATATATATATATATTTATAAACAACATTTTGAATACATTTTTTTTAGAAGAACGATTTTTTTTTCAAAAAGTGATTTCCCCAGATTTGGGACTTGTGAAAACCATGGTTACCACATCAAAAAACACCAAAATATGCAAAATGTCATGATGTTTAACCCAGAATTTGACCCCCACAAGTAGAATTGTTTTTCTTAAAACCTGTCTGAAATTAAATATTGCCTATTGGTAACAGAAATACTCAGGTTTTAGCATAGGTAATTCCGTTGGATTTTTCACAATATTTACACATGTGCTGAGTACAAAAATAGACTACATGAAAAGCTAGCTTTTGTTGTTTAGACACAGATTTGTAAATGCCCAAAATTGTAGTCTAAAACCAAATTCAATTTTTTTTTGGAAAAATTATGAAGCCCACATAGTCCACTTCATCATGTGTATGCCAATTTTAGTGCTGATTTTTTTTTCAATTTTGATACATGTTATATTACAGGGGTTATTCATTGTATAAAATTATCACCCATGGCCACCGTACGCTACTGTACTCTGCTACCTGATAGCTGTAACAGCTGTCCCTGATTGACTCCCCTATCAGACTGATTTGTCTCCCCTTGCTTGTTGTTATAGCTGTAACAGCTATCCCTGATTGTCTCCCCTATCAGACTGAATTGTCTCCCCTTGCTTGTTGTGATAGCTGTAACAGCTATCCCTGATTGTCTCTCCTATCAGACTGAATTGTCTCCCCTTGCTTGTTGTGATAGCTGTAACAGTTATCCTTGATTAACTCCCCCCTATCAATGCAGAAATTTTCATATTCACTGTCTCTTGACAATCTGAAAACATTCTAAAATCTTATATTTAGGAAGATTTACTTTGTCTTGCCATGGTTTAAATCATTGTTCTGGAGGATAATTCTTAATAAACTGTGCCTGGAAATACTAACTGGTGTCTGAGAATTTTCTTTTTGATTTGGATTATTTCATGTTTACTTGAATAAAATATAATTGCTCAAATACAAATTGAACAAAAAATGTCCATTTTTATTGAAATCAGTAAGTTTACTATTGATTCCTGAAAAACTGTTTTGCAAATTGTTTTGTTACTCATGTGTACAATCGTGGAAGTATGAAGCATTAACACAGCTACATTTATAATGTTTGATCTGGATGAAAAAAGCATAAAATATTGGATGATACAATGACTCACCAATAACATTCTGCTTCATTGGTGCTGTAATTAAATTTTAGTATTCTGGTAATTTGATAGTTCTGCCCACCACCCCCTCCCAACCATCCCCTGCCAAAAAAAACCCCTTCAGAATTGTAGTGACTGTGTATGAAGAAAAAAATGCTTTCTATAACTTACTGTATGTAGTCACAGGCAAATATAGTTCATGATGGTTTCACTTATAAAGAAGTTTTGTTTATCAGGCATTTTGAATGAAACTAAATATGTGTGTGTTTTGTAGATGTTGGTGGACCAGACCGACTTCCTTGTTGTTGGGGTGATCGGGCCTCAGGGCAGTGGGAAGTCTACAGTCATGTCTCTGCTGGCCGGCAACTCCCCTGACGACAGTCACAGGTATTTCAAAATATACCTCCAACAATGGAATTGTTTTTTTCTGAGATAGACTAAAACTTTAGGAATAATGCTTTTATTCTGATAACTTTAGGAATAATGATTTTATTCTGATAACTTTAGGAATAATGATTTTATTCTGATAGATGTGGATACAGCTTGAGATGGATGATTGAAGGTGGTCAGGATGATAGATTTTGATGCTATGTTTTGTCAGGTATGGAAACCAATGGGAGTCGACACTTATGTCCCCTGTTTTTTATGGGTGGGTGGAGGAGCATATAGTGTTACCAAAGTCTGTCCAGATAAATTGTCTTGACTCTAGTGACTTTATTTCTTAATAAATTTTCATCAAAATAGAGAGGTCAAGTATGAGAATACCTCAGACAAGTTTATATTTCAGTGTCCCAACATCAACACAAATGTCTCTAGTGCTAATTATAGGTCAACCACAGCACCAAGGGGCATTCATGTCTTATAGACGTTTTCTAGCGTAGGAATTCAACATGCTTATAATTTGAAAAAATATTGATTCATTAAGTCATAACAAAAAAAATTCCTTATTTAGGGAATGAAATAAATCCTAAAATATCAATGAACCTACTTTACTACCTGATTTAAAATTTGTGTAGACAGTTCCTGTTCCTGCCCCAGACCCATGACACCAGTGAGCTGTGTGAGCACCAGACAAGTGGAGTAGACATGTTTGTGTCAGGCGAACGAGTCATCTTCCTTGATACACAGGTTTGTCAGGCATTTTGAAATTCTTTGTGGCAGTGACTAACGGCTTTTTAGCACACCATCAGCTGATGGTGGGTTATTTAAATCATCTGTCTCCCGTCATCCATCCTTAAGCAATTTTTGTTATCACTATATCTCATATTTCATGTGAAGGTTCCCCTAGCTTGGTCCTTAGTTATGCATGTTCTATTTTAAGGCTAGGCAGCCATCTTGGATTTTGACTGCTCAGGTTTGTTATCACTTTTTCAGCTAAGTACTGAACAGGACAAATTTTATTGATTCTTCCTCATTTTAGAGTGATCTGAAAAGCAAGATGGCCACCAGGCAGCCATCTTGTATTTTGACAGTTCAATATCATTTTCGTGTATTTTCAAGAACTAATTGACATAGTTTTCAGAAAGGTTCCATTTAATCTCTCATCTGTAGTTAAGCATTTTTCCTTTTAAGAATAATCTGAAGAACAAAATGGAATTGGCGGCCAGGCAGCCAACTTGGATTTCGAAAATTCATGATTGTAACATGACTGAACCTCCTCAAACTACATATGAAGATTGCCCTTTGTCTGTACAAGCCTGTTTTATTTTGAGAATGATGCACAGTTGTGCATGTTAATTGTCCAGTTGGTCTGTAGTTAAGCATATTTCCTTTTGAGAGTAATAATAAAACAAGATGGCCACCATCTTTCACAAATTTGACGCCCTAGAATTGTTTTTTATTAGGTAAATGCTGTGTATATATAGTTACTGGTGTTTTTATCACCCTAGAGTAAGTGTTTTGTTATCAAATAAAACATGTGTATAGTGACTGTGGCGTTTTTGACATCTTATAATAAGTGACAGCCCCAGTACAGTAACTTTTATGTGTTTGACAGCCTGTGTACAGT